GACCACGCCTTCTTTGGTTATATTGTTGTGGGCAGAGAAATAGTGCATAAAATCATCTTTATTTGTGGGCTTGCTGTACACAGAGAACATCAGGCCGTCAGGTCTCCTCTGAATTAAGGAAGCTGTTCATATATCTCCTCTTCTGTGGTGAACTGTATGGAGGGGTGCACTGCATTTAGTCTATGGAGGAGGTCTTGAAGGTTTATCCTGGTTGGCGAAGTGGTCAGCCTCGAAGGTTTCCATAAATAGCTAAGCAAGGACTGCTGAAAGAGGTGAGCCCATCGCAAGTCTGCTATTACTCACGTCCTCGGAATTCGAATGGGCCAAATTCCACGCAGAGGCAGATGAGTGCGACGTAATAATTTCTCGGAGTGGTAGTTCATCCTCGTCCATTCCTTTCAGCGTTCGTGTTGCAGCTTCGATGGCCCCGCCAATCGGTACGTTAGTTATGAACGACTAGACGTCGAAGATGACAAGCTTTTTGCATCTCATCCCGACGTTTTGCAGTTTGGCCATCATGTAGCTTCTTAGCTAACAGGTGTGGGGCACTCCCGGTAATGGGTCTCACGGGGTTTCCTTCCTCGTGGAGATGCAGCAAAGACTTCCCCTTCTCCGAACATCTGAGAATCTTCCTTGCTGCTCTGTTGAACTCTAGGGACCTTGCCTCCGCGTTTCCTGTCCTAGCTTTCCTGTAAGTAGAGACGTCCGTGAGCAGTACTTCCATCTTAGTGACAATAATTACGACACTGCCAACCTTATCGGCCGGAGCAATGTCGATGGAGTCGTCTCTGTCAAGTTCCTGTAGGGCCTTAATATTCCTATCAGGAATAGCAGGCTCACGTCCTCTGGTGCTGGCGACTGCACAGGTCACAACTCCCTGCAGGAACTCAGTACATGTATATATACACACCTATATGTCTCTTGTCTCATATGCCCTGATGAAATAATAAATGCGAAAAGGCCTTCGGCATATTCATGTGCTTGCTTGTACTTTCCTTCGTTGTTCTACTTGTAATTTGTTTGACATGAATTCCACACTGAACATATATCTCATCATCGTTTTTTGGTGACCCCCCTAACCCCACTCCTCAAAAAAAGAGTTGGCAATGATCGCCACTGCACTGAACAAAGAGAATACAGAACAGGAAATCAGAGAAAGGCAGTTCTGATATATATGATCTTAATACATAATATTATACGCAATATCTATACTGTGTATGTTAAATAACATACATGAAATATATCATTGTATATTTAAAATATATAAAATTTCAAGCTGATACTGTATATGATATATGTAATGCTATTGTATTTAGTTTGGTAAGTATTTTACTTTATTACCTATTTTTTATGCTACCTAAAATCAATTTACTTCTCTTTGTGAGCGCTGCCTGAAGACGAGTACGCCCGTCGGCAATCTCGCGGAACGGCCGCTCTGTCTCCCAACAAGGCATCTTTCAAATGGATCGTGACCCGAGCAAAGTGGACTTTGAGATTTATGGCCAGTGTTTGTGTGTATGGATGTAAATGAACATGTGAATGCATACTAAAGTATGTATGTATTTATCTGTTATCTGTTATGATTAAAAAAAAAGAAGTTTATTCCTGAACTAAGAATATGTATATCGATTTTCGCGCGATAAATTTAAAACTAATAAGTTAATACCGTACTACAGTTAAATCCAAAACCATAGTACTTTCACCGGAGAGGCAAGACATAACTGCCTGACGAGCTAACCAGTGTAATTATGAGTCACTCACTATAATTTTCATAATGCACAAAAAATTACACATACGGTATAGCATTACATCACAAATATATATCTGTGCCAGTACAGCCAAACTCTGGGGGGGGGGGGGGGTAGGAATGTGGAAGTCAAGTAATAAAATAGTTATTTTTAGGACACTTAAGTTATAACCCAGGATTCATTGTATGCAAGTCATAAAAGAAATAACAATACCAATCATATTTTTGTAAGCCTACATGAAAACAACCTGATAGGGCATGGGACGACCTGTGTGAGACGGCTGGTTATTCAAGTATTTGGCGTTGCAGATAAAGCTTATACTGTAACAATAAGGTATTATGATTTAGCTGATCTGATAATAAGATTGTAATATGGTGTTATATATTGAATATGAAAATACTGTTTTTGGTAATGACATAGATGATATTCTTGTCAGAAAAGTAAGAGAAAATCAAGTGTGATATATTAACTCACAGCAATGTGTGCAACGATTGCTTGTTCCGGAAAGATACAGTAATCATTTAATGAAAGAAACAATTGTGAACATAACAGAAATGTATTTTTGCCATTTTTTAACGAAAAATATATTTGTGCCCGGACACGATTTGTTTCCCACTATATTTTCATTATTTATCTTTTTTACAAAAAATCCGGCCTAGGCGGGTATCTGGGAGCTAAGTTTTAGATACCAATCCCTTTCTGACTCTTCTTTTCTCGTTCTAGAGCGTAAGCGAAGATTAAAGGTAAAGCCAACCTCATCCTATATCACCAACATGTAGGTGCTCAAATCGCTTAAACTTACCGTTGTATACATATAACTTTAGGCTTTATAATTTCCTCCATGCTTCTTATATAAACTATCCCAGATTCGTCAGTCTGTGTCCGCA